AAGTTTTTGGCAACTGTTAATAAAACGATTATGGGCATTTTCATGAGTTTTTCTGTTGAGTGTCTTCCTTGGTCCCAAAGTGGAGACTCTGGGTTTAATGACAGGTAGCTATTTAACCTCATAAAGAGCTGCCAAAGATTTCTCTAAAGGGTTTAGGAATTGCAAAATCCTACAGAGCTGCTCATTTGTGCTAAATTTTAAAGGGGTGGCTGCGGCACACATCGTAGTGTGGCCTCACACAAATTCCCCTCCGAGGTGACCCTGCAGGCATCTTCTCATTCTTGTTAGTGGTTGTTTGTGAAGCAGTCAAGATTTCTACCCACTGGAAGGTTGAGTCTTAAACACTGATTTGCAGTTATCCGCGGGATGGTTCAGAAACGCCTCTCAGTGGCGGCCCTTAACCATGTTTTGAGAAACAAAACAATGCAAAACAAACAAAAAAAAAAAAGATTTTTTTTTCTTGAGACAGTGTCTGGCTATGTAGTTCAGGCTGTTCTGGAGCTCACTTCGTGGCCAAGGCTGGCCTGGCACACAAACTTACAGGGTGTGGACCACTGTGTCCAGCTTTTTAAAAGTCATCCATTTCTGTATCCTATCTAAAGTCTTGGACAATCACCACATACCAATTCATGCAGTTATCTTTCTGTTTTCCTCTTTGAGCTCCATATTACCTTTTCTGTTTACCTTGATTATCCATCTGGAGTTATTTACTGTTTGGGGTAATGTAGACACAGGCTTCATGTGGGCACCCAGTTGTTTCAGAACTATTTGTTTCAAATACTGTTTAACATGCTGGGCTTGGAGGCACAATCCAGTAATCCCTCAGGAGGCTGAGGCAGGAAGATCGTCTTGAGTTCTAGGTTAGCCTGGGCTACACAGAATTCATGACCATCCTGAATTATAGAACCTCAAGAGACAACAGTTGAGCTATGTTTTATTTCCTGTGCTGAAAATACAGTGACCATATATAAGGGTAGGTCTCTTTCCAGGGTTGACACATGGAGTGGTTCACCTTTGGTTACAATAGTGGGACATACTGGTTGTTCTGGGATTTTTTGTTGTTGTTTTTGTCTTTTTGAGACAGGGTCTCGCTGTGCAGTTCAGGCTGGCCTTGAGCTCACTTTGTAGCCTAGATTGGTCCCGAACTCGAAAGGACCCTCTTGCCTCAGCCTCCTGAGTGCTGGGATTATAGGCGTGAGCCACCATGTCTAGCTAGTTGTTCTGTTTTTGAAACAGGATGTTCCTAAGCAGCCCAAGCTGGCCACAGACCCCTGAATTGCTGTCTCAGCCTCCCCAGTGCTGGGATTATGGCAGGCATCTTCACCAAAGCTACCACTACACTGGTCTTTGTGTGTTAGGCCATTCTTATTCTCCTCTAATAAAGCATGGCATAATGTACCATTATTTGTTGCATACCAATTTCCTAACACTTTGACTTTGCATCTGTATTTATAAATACTGGTCCGAGGCCCGCCTTGGGACACTTTTGCCTTCTGCAGTGGAGACATACACAGCCTCGTCTTGACTGGAAAAGCTCCTCTCTCTCCTTCGAAGTTTCTGGAAGATTAGTATTAACTTGTCCCAGAATGTTTTATACAACACACCAGGGACAGGACTTTGCTTTGGACTTTTTTTTTTTACAGATACAGGGCTAACATAGGCTTCGTATTTCTTGTAATTTCAAGGAATTTGTTCCCTGAGATTGTAGAAAGTTAATCTGCTTTAGTCACATCGCTGTCTGCAGGGCCTCACTGCAGCCGCACTGCAACCTTCATTTTTGACATTAGCAATTTGGTTTTCTTCATGCAAATAACCAACATGTGGCTTGGGTAAAATCCCATGGTGCACGCTGCCTGATCAGCCTCCTGCCCTAGCGTGGTACTCCAGCTTCTCCAGGCACTAATTAATTAACACGATGCCATGCCTTCAATGGAGCTGCAGCCCGAGAACCCCCTCTCAGCCTCCGCCAGGCTCCCTCCACGGCCTGCACTCTGCGCATTGTGGGCTTCTGATTGACAAGCAGAACCTGGAGGTGACCACAGTCATGCTCACGGTCCCCGTGCATGGGTCAGCATGGCCTACACAGGGCCTCTTCCCACACTCTGCCTCCATGGGATGTTTAATGTGAATTTAGCACTGCTTGGTGCCCTGAATCCGGGTACTTAGCACATGCACCCCCTCACCCAGTGAGGTCTCTGGTCCATACCTGCAGGGGCAGTTTTTGTTCATATTCGCCCTTGCCACCTGTGCCCCCCCCAGTTAGGTAGACATTTTCAGGGCTCCACTTGGAGCACCCTGAGCTTGGGCTGTCTCTGCCTTACTTCCTCTGGCTACTGCAGGCGGTGTGGCCACCTCTGGCATGCCCTTTCACAAGGACCCAGTACTGTACCACTTTACCCTGAAGTGAGGAGTATTTCAGGGGGACGAGTCCATTTTCCACCCATGCATCACCCTGCCCTGGAGGGCACCGAGGGCCTTGGGGTCGCACTGCTAACCAGAAGCTGCTCAGTAGCAGACACAGTTCTGTCCCCTAGGCCAGGACAGCAGTCTGAGGCCTGAGCACTCACACAGTGAGCAGGACCTTCTGCAGGCAGCTGCACATCCACACTTTCCACTCTGGCAGGGCAGGCAGCCAAGCAAGCAGGGCCCTCCATGTCAGGGCATCAGGCGGGCACCAGCAAGACAGTGGAGAGGCCCAGGCCTGCTGTTTCCCCATGCTCAGCAGTCACCACCAAACAGGAGGGGCCCAGCTCTGGAAGCAGCCTTTCTGGATGCCTGGTGTCAATGTTACCCAAATGCCCTGGACCTGGTGATGGGAGACACATGGCGTGTCCCCAGGCTGTCAAGGCATCCTGCTCCAGGCCTCTTTAAGGCACCTGGGCTCCCCCGCAGGGCGAGAGGGACAAGAGGACTGAAGCAGCCTTACTAAGCCTGCTGGGTCCCCAGGGTGCCTGGGCTCCAGCATGCTGGGCACCCTTCAGAGCCCACAAGCCCACCAAGGAGAGGTGGGAACCCACGTCACCCTGCAGGAGGCCAAGCCAGGGGAAGGAACCCGAGCAGCTGGAAAGTGAAGCAGCTGCTTTCAGTGAATCTTCTCAGCAGGGCACAGCACGCTGTGCACAGACCTGGGTACATGTGTATGGCTTTAAAGACACTCACTCAACTGACAGGGCTGAGGTTTCCTCCCAAACAAGCCCAAAGACTTAAGTTACAGACAACATGTGTATTGAAATTAGCAAATTTATTTGAGTTAAAATTATTTACAAAAACCCAAACACATAGTTCATGAAACTGGTATAAACATTTGTCTTGCTGTTGGCTATTGCTCCAAAGATCACAGCTGAGAAATACCATATAAAATAAAAATAGGATTGGATTCAGAAAAGTACTCTACTGTTCTAATTTCCAACTGGTAGTATTTACAGAAATATTTACAATGGCAAAAGCTTACTTAGAAACTTGGGTTAATTTGCAAGTCAGCCTCAAGTATCCTACAATGCAGAGTTCTCTGAGAGTTAAACACAGGGATGCACTGTAATTAGTGGTGGTGGGGGGTCTCCCTCACCCCCAGCCACATCCCCAAATCTGCATCTCTATTAGTGTTTGACAATTAGTTACTACTTAAACTTAAACTGTTAAAACACTGAGGGAAATCAGTTTTCAAATGATTACCAGTGTAACAGAAAACTGTAGTTCGCCCTGGTTGATCGCATCCAAATGTTCTGTAACATTCCTCACTGCCTGCCACCAGTCAGCCTGACCAAAATCTGTTCTGCCCCCTACATCCAAAGACTAATAAATACCAACGTGCTGAAAAATAATTAAACCAAATATATCTAACTAATGCAGCCTATAGATGCCAGCTCCCAGTATGCTGAGAAGCTAGGTCAGTTTTTCTGCTCAGGGCAAACCCACTTTATCTTCCACGCTACACTGTGCACTGTGTCCCTAAAGGTGCCAGGAGTGTTCAGAGGGCAGAGGAGGAAGAAAATGATTAGCCTGCGATCAGCTATTTCCTTGGAGAGTTCCCAACAATCTGCATTATCAAAAATAGGAAGACAATAGAAGGTAGCCACTGCATTAAAAACAGTGCAGCTGGCACTGGTACAAGAGCCCCAGTTTGTCACTATACACGGAAATAGAACCAAGTCTAAGTGGGCAAAAACTAGACTTTGAGCTATTTTCCCCAGTACACACCAAACTAATATTTTATGGCTTCAAGTTTTACAAATCCAAAAGGTCATCAGAAGGATGAATGAAGGATGAATGATGGGCTTTGGAAAGCCCATCCTCCAGTTTGATTGGTTAAAAGAAAAAGGAAACCAGTGGTCGGAACAACACAAGAAAACTCTCAATGCTGTGAAATCAAGTTCACTGGATGTGTTCTGTGTGCTCCACAACTGTTTTCCAAACAAGTGTTGTATGAATAAAACAAGGTCTTCTCTAACTCAGCAATTTTAAGGTTTTTCATTTATGCAATTGATCCTGTCACTGCAGAAGAACATGCACGTCACCTGGAAACGTGAGTCCCACATTGGTGTTTAGCTTCCTTATGGTTACTGAACTGAGCATCATAAAATACCTCTAGAGATGCCCCTCTAAACCTCACATCGTCCCAAGAGCCTCCCTAGCATCTCGCAGAAACTATCCCGGGCTCCTCTGTTTGCGAAGCCTTTCATCAATGGGGCACATGGGCTTCCTGGACATCCGTCTCACTGCTGCCTGTTTCCTGCACCTACAGCTATGATACACTGCAGTATGGCATTGAATCCATATTCAATGGATTCATGGTCTCAAGAGAGAAAAATAGTTCAATACCCAAACCTAATCAAGAATAAAAAAATACACTATCAATCCCTTGTGTCTTTGGATTCCATCTAATTTTAAATATAGACAGCAGTCCAGGGAACACAACCAAAAAATTCACAAAATTATTAAATGCTTTATTTACGATTGGAATCATTCAACAAAAAGCAAAAGCCAATGAGCCTGAAGAAGGAACTAAGCTGCTGCCTGGTGCTCAGAACCCCGGGCCCTGCTGGTGCTGCTGCCCTGCTGTGGTGCCATCGGCTCCACACAGCAGTCGCACTAGCAGAAGCACAGCATGAGCTCCCCTTGAACCTGCTGGAGTGAAGGAAGTCACGGTGGCACTGTGCAGACCAAGCTGCCAGAGCCTCTGCCAGCTGCAGGCTGACATGGAAACTGTCACTGAGCAGACACGGAGTATGGGAAGAAATCAGGCGGCCATTCGGTCCTGCCAGTGCTCCTGATGGCTCTTCAAGGACACCTGGTGACGTTCCTCTGCCTAATGGTAGCTCCTGCATCCCCAAGCACCTGAAGCAAAGGTAAAGCAGCTAGCAGTGTTCCAAATACTCGATCACTAGAGATAGACTTCTGGCCTGTCGTCCCGACAGCACACCGAGGGGGAGGGGAGGAAGCACAGTTAATAGTTAATGTTCAATCAGAGCATCCAGGCCACCTGCACAGAAACTGCTACATTGACCCTGTGACCCCCAGCCCTCGGGAGGTGGATCATGCCTTTTGCAACAGGGCACCTGGCCTTCAATCCTGATGACCCTGAAGAAAGTGCAGCATTCCGAGACTCCCTTGTCCTCCTGTCCCTACAGCATGGGAGCAGCTCTCCTGTTGGAGCACTGACTACACCGCATACCCACCTGCCAAGAGGAGCTACTTATAGTAAGATTCATGAAGCTCAGGAACTTCTTCAGGATCTCTGTCATTATGGAGAAGTCTCCTTCCGGTAGGTACTCCCGCACTGTAGTGACATTTATCTGCAGAGTGCACCAAAGAGCTCGATCAGTTGCCAGGGCCCATGAGACGGTGCCCTGCCCGGAGCTGGCCTTGGCACCCCCTGTCCCCCGTGCCCACTGAACCAAGCCACTGCTCGCAGGTACACAGATGGCCCAGGGAGTTGGGCTGTCCAGATGAAGTGACTGAAAGGACACTCATCAAGTGGGAGCGCCTTTGTGGGCCCTGGGACACTGCCTTGGGTTGCACCTGGGGAAGCCCCTACCTGTCGCCTACTGCCTCCCTTTTCATGGAACCCTGTGCCCTGCAGTACACCTGCTCTCATATTTAAAGGGCCCTCAGCAGCTCTGCTTGCTGTGCCCCCAGCAGCCTGACCCTGAGAGGTGCATCAGTTCTAACACAGCCATAGCGGTCACCTGTGCACGTCACAGTTACGTGGGAAACTTGGATCCGAAAGTAAGTCAGGGTGTCCAAGGTGTTGACAGTAAGAGAACCTGGCAATCTTAAGAAAACTGCTGGGCCCAGCATATAGCTCTGAGGCTCAGTGCCCGTCTGGGCATGCAAGGTTCTGAGTCTGATTCCTCATACCAAAAATAAAAAAGGAGACACCCTAAGCGTTAAACATTTTCCTACTGTTTTTTCTTCCATAGGGAAGGGATACAAGAGTATCAACAGCCCCATCATCAAAAGCTGGGCCACAACACCATGGGCACAGGAGGAGAAACTACAGACTGGATGTGTGAGGGAGTGGAGAGGCACACAGGGCCTGTGGACCGTACTTATGGGGCTTTCCTGGCAGGGGCAGCTGAGGAGCAGTGACATGTAGGAGGCCACCATGCAGTCCTCCACGTGCTTGCCAGCGTGCTGCAGAGCTGCAGGCTGAGCATGTGGTCAGGAGCGGAAACCAGGCACAGCAGGGCAGGTCGTGCATGCGCGGGGTCAGCGGACAGAGAGAGAGAGAGAGAGAGAGAGAGAGAGAGAGAGAGAGACAATCACTTCAACAGGTGACACACCGGAGCACGGGGGCCTGCCTGGCCCTGCTCACCAGGCGTGCAAGCCAAACGGAGTCACGCACTACACTCCCATCCACCAAGATGACTCAAAGCATTTTACAAAACAGTGATTTGGAGGACTCAGAGAAGGCGGACCCCACCTGAGTGGGACTGGAAAACACAGCAGCCGGGCATCCCGTGGCCATTCTCCTTTCTACACATGCAGGAGATATGGGATCAGTGTCTCCAGAGGAGGTCATGTACATGGTGCCACCTCGCTCCCCCAGGATGGGAGCACAGCAAGTGTTCTGGCACACAAGGAAGTGTGCATGCGGACAGGAAGAGTCTTGACGCATGGGCATATGGTGCAAGGGAACCGTGTCTCACACACACCCCCCCACACACACACACACATACACACACGGAGCACGGCCCTGACCACAGGACTGAGCCTGGCCAGCACCGGGCCACACTCCATGTGCCCAGGAAGGGAGAGAACATGAGGCTTGGCTACTAAGCACTAAGTGGCATCTTAGGGCTGATGATAGGTATCTGGCTTTAGGTGACATTGGTGGGTGTAGGATTCTGTCACCATACAATTGTGACTAAAAACTTCTGCATTATTGGCTTTAATAAGGAAATTTTATACTACATGAATTATAACTCAATTCTTAATTTTTTAAAGACTGCTAAACAACCACAAATATGACCGTAAAAAAGGAACATGAACACTGCAGCTGTGTTTCTTAGGCACAGAAATTGCTCCCAACACCATAGCTAAATGGCATCTGCTCTGAGCAGCCAGTGGCCTCGAAGCTGGAGGAGCTGGCCACACTTCCTAGACCCCACAGCGCAGGGACCGCGCCATCCTGCAGACTCCCCACAAATGGGATCACAAGCACCAATGCCAGAGCAGAGTGCACTCCCCAGGAGCCCCTGCCTAGGACTCTGTGGTGCTGGCCTCCGGGCACTCACGCTGAAGACTGCCATTGTGACTTCCAGCATCTTTGAGCACATGTTAAAAAACCTCAGTAAATAAACCAAAGCTGCAAACCTGTGCTCATGCTGTCCAGCAGGATTCCTTACAGCAGGAAGGCAGGGCAGATGGGACCAGAGGGGCTAACTCAGCTCTTTCCTCACTTTCCCCTGGGAGCAGCTGCCAGTCCCATAGCACAGGCTTCCCTGGACTGAGCTGCGGCCCCAGCTCTACCCTGACCCAGACTGAATGTACAAACAAGAAACCCTAACCCAGTGCACCCTGACCCAGCATAGCCCCAAGATGCACACACCCTTGTTGAGGTCCAGCTCCTGGCCGTCCTCCTCCTTCTTGTGCTTCTCCTCCTTGCCAACAGCGTTTTCCATCAACACCCACTGTATCTCCCCGCTGGTCTCCTGCCACTCTCCGACCTTATCGTGCTCAGGGGTGGGTGCGTCTTTGATCAACTTACCTGTTTTGCTTTCTTCCAACTGGGCTGCTCGCTCTTGCTCAAGGAATAGCTGACAAAATTAATTTTGAAAAGCACGGAAAAGCCATTACCAACACACATACACCTAGTATTTCGCTTTACATAAGAGGCTGGGCACCATGGAGATCAGTGTGGAAATTCCTCAAAAACGCAGCTACTCCCCTTCTGGGTGTCTTCCCAAAAGAATTAAAAACATCACAGCACAGACATCCATGTGTACTCCTGTACACAGCAGCACAGTTAGTAATAGCTAGACCCTGGAAACAACCCCAGTGCCCATCAATGAGAGAAATGAATAGAAATGGTATTTTTATACAATGGAGTACCACCCAACCATAAGCATAGGCTGGAGACTTTCAAAGCTAAATGGATGCACCTTGAGAGCATACTCATTAGTGAAATAAGACAGACACACAAGTAAATATAAGATTTTCCTAGTGTGAGAAGCTGAAAGAACAAAAAGCATATGTATATGTACATAAAAATCACTAAGCCAGTTAAGCTACGGAGTTCTCTGTGCTCGCTGACGAGGAAGAGCTGGCTAGTACTGTTCAGACACTGCACACAGGTGTCTTGTACTGTGCTGTGCCATGTGTGTGCCACTGCTGCCCCAGTTGATGTGTTCTGAAATTTTGTTGTGGTATTTTTTTCTTTTTTTTATCCTTGAAATAAAATAGGTTTGGGGCAGCAGAGCACCTGCCTAGCATATCGAAAGGCCAGGCTCCACGTCCAGCAATGACCCCATGCTGTCCCCAGCTCAGGCTACTTGGGCAGAAAGATGTGCTCAAGATGTGCCCCATCCTCACCAAACCCAGATGACATAGGTGCTGTGTCAAGAAAGGCATCTCCGTAATTTTCCTCCCTTAATGAGATTCAATTAAAAATAATCATAAAACCCAACGGAACAGCAATTTAAGAAAACCAACCAACACACCAACTTAGGCATGCTGGAAAGAAGAACTCAGAATAAAACTAAACAGATTGGGAAATGCACGGTTGCTTCTTTAGAGGGAATTTAAAGATAAACAATCAGTGAAGAACAGAGTGAAAAGCAGAAGGTCCAACACAGGGCACAAAGGGGAACCAGGATTCCGGTGTGTTCCGTTCCCTTCCTGTCCTGTCCCACCGCAGCATCTACACCCTCACTGACTGACCTGGGAAAGAGCAGAGGCTGCTAAGGGGAACAGCATGAAAACCCCCCACCCAGCAATCCACAAAGATGTGCTCTGTGCAGAGAAGAGGGCTGTAGGCATTTCACAGGTGGCTCGCATAAGATGATTCCCTAGAGAAAATGAGACAGCAGCTCTCAAAATGGGTCCAAGAATCTCGGGGGTTGGGGGGACCCTGGGTTCCCAACAGGTAGTAGAGGGGGTTGGTAACATTCATTCTCTGCCACACCACAGGGCCAGCTACTGTCCAGTCTTCATGTGCACAGAGGAGTTCTGCAGAATCTTAGATGAGGTATAATTAAACTCACTGCTCTAATAGCTAGTGTGATTTCCCTAGTTTTCCTATGCAATAAATATTCAGGGACATGTATGCACAGTTATCAAGAGAAACTCTCTGGGTTTCCTAGTAAGAATCTAAGAAGTGCTAAGATCAAAATGTATGATCAGAGAATGATGGACTCCTAACTCAAGAAAGAATCAGTTTGTGGGTAGCTTTCTTAAATGTAAGCATTATTAGCTTTAAACCGGTCAACAAATGAACCAGGGTGGTGGCAAATGTCCATAATCCTCGCAACTGGGAGGCTGAGGTATGAGGATTTCTCTCAGTTCAAGATCAGAATGGCCTACATGGTGAGACCTTGTCTCAAAAAAAATAAAGTCTACTATTTTTCGGGACCTTTTCAAAATGCTATTAAATGCCATACGCAAAAGGTATCTAGGAAACTTCTGAAATGATAGTTACTTTAAAAATTGTAACACTGGGCCAGGTGTGATATTGCATGGCTGTAATCCTAGCACTGAGGAGGGTGAGGTAGGAGGATCGCTGACTTTGAGGCCAGCCTGGCTGACAAAGTGAGTTCAAACCAGCCTAAACTGTGTAGTGAGACACTGTCTCAATAAAAGGAAAAGAATGGGGCTGAGGGTGTAGCTCAGGGGCACAGGTGCCTGCCTGGCGAGTGTGAGGTCCTGAGTTCCATCCCCAGTACCAAGAAAAAAGGGGGAAAGGCACTGCTGAATGTTAAGCAGCTGAGGAAATAAGGACTTGGTTTGGGCATATTTCTAGGGGAGAAGTATAAGCTTCCCTAAAAGAAGAGGAAACATGGAATTTGGTGAAGGGCCGAGTACCAATTTTCAGTGTACATACTCAGAACATGTCAACTCCTAAATCAGGAAACTACCGCTCCCTCTCCCTACTTTGGAAAAATACAGTCTAAGACTTAAGAGTGTTTATCCTGTAATTTCTGTAGTAAAATAAAAAAGAACCACATAAAATAAAACGTTTATCAGTAGAGGACAAGTTAATAAAACTACTAAGTGGCCCTGCAGTGATTACGAAGCCTGAGATAACCCTGTGCTGCCAGAAACCGCTCAGGAGATGGAAGAGGAGAAGTGACCAGAACAAGCTCACTCAGTGTTTCCGCAACACAGACAGGCATGAGACAGGAACTCGGTCTGCCATTATGCCAGGAAAAGCTGCTCTCTGCCCTTTACAAACTGATGTCACACCTCATCAACAAGTTGAAGAGCAGCACCGTGAGTCTCTGTATAGTCCCACTCACACAGAACCATTTACGTTTGTGCTGCCATATGACCCAGGGACACTAATTTCTCAGGACGCAGAACTACTACAAGTGATAACTTTAGAAAATGGAGTCAGGCATTTTAAACCTTCCTCAATGTGATTTTTAAAACATGGGGGTGAATTATTTCTGATTTTTAGATCGATTAATTAATTACTTTTAAAAAGCAGTGAAGAGAAGTTTAGGTTACAGTCAGAACTACTTAATTTTAAAATAACCGGAACAAGATCAGTGTTGGCAGTGTGAAAGACATCGATTTCAGCACTAACACTTCCCATCGCTTTGCACGTTTGAATTAGGAGCGTTTCTTGATACTGGAGTATAAGGTAGTAATTTTCTAAAAGCGCAGCAGCAAAACTCATCACCTGAAAGGCACTAAAATCTAAAATCAAAAGCTTTACACAGGCTGATTCCAAAACAACACACCCTAACAGGTGGCATAAAGCCAGTCATGACAGAGGATGGCAGCCTGAGACAAGTGGCTCCCACAGTGCAGGGTGCCTTGTGGATGAGGAACCCTGGGCTGGAAACGCCCACACGAGGGGAAGTGCCTACCAGCTGGCGTGGGGGCAGCATCTGCAAACTGGCCCTTCCCATGGGGTACGCTGAGGTGGCGGCCACTTCCTCACAAAGGGCTGGGCACTCGGGGGCTTTGTCTACCTCACTTCCACTTGAACAAGACTGGGAGGCGCCAGAATGCTGCCATCATACAAGGGAATTCTACTCAGCACTAAACAAGAGTGTCTCCATCCAGGAGTCCCTAAGCTCGGTCACTCTGATGCTCTGCCACTTTCTGGAACTCGCCAAGAAACAGGTAATGCAGGGCTCCCAGCTCTTCTGTGGGCCACAGGGCCTAACAGCATTTTATACACAGATTGGACCTGTGGGCAAATGCCAGTGCCAATGACAGGACAGGACGGGGCCAGATGCCCAATCTTATCACTGGTCTAATCCTGCTTTGCCAAGGAGTGAACACAGTTGAAAAAGCCCAAAGAACAAAGGAAAGGTGCCCTTCAATCAGTGTACTTCTTACTGACTGAAAGAGAAAATGTAATCCAATTTTTAATTGGTTAAGACTATGCTTAAAATTAGTTTCATACTAGGAACTATCAATATTTAAGATTTGGTCAGCTCTAAAAGACACTCCTCCCACTCATATCTAGAGAACACTCCTTAGGAGTTCTAACAACAAAAAAGGGAAACACAGCAGGTGGGTGTGACAGGTGGGGAGGAAGACAGGCTCAGCAACGAGCCTGTCCTGACTGCTGCTCACCTGCAGGAGGGCTTGCACAGCATGAACCTGCCAGGGAGCCCTTAGGTCTCTGTCCCCCTCTCCGAGGTAGAAGGAAGAATCAAAGGAACAGGACATCTTCATGTTGACCAGGCAGTGCCAGTTCCAAGCACTGTACTCCACCAGATTTATCAGCAGGCCCAAGCCCTACAAGGCAGTTGGAAGAGCATTATCACAGATGAGCACTTCAAAATCAAAAATGTATGGAATTAGTGAAAGTTAAAAATCTGAAAAGCACTTTTCCATCAGCAAAATGGTCACATCATCAGTACAGTATGGAAGATAATGGTTTTCTAAAACACTAATTCTCATGGGTTTTAATCACCATTTTGAATTTTTACACTTTTTCTTTTTTAAAGAGGTAAGAAAAGGAAAAAAAAACAAGCAGTGTGTTCATAAGGAAATTTTTAAAACAATTCAAGATACATTGAAGTCTGGTTCTTCACCCCAAACTGAAATGACACGTTTACCATCTGACCAGATCAAACACTTCCCCAGCTGCCCGCCCGGCTCACCAGCACCCGAATGTCAACTCTCTGCTCCTGAGGTAGGTACATCGGGACCTGCAAACACAGCTCTGTGCCAATGAGGCCGACCTGTTCCCCTGTCTTGGTGCTGTCCCATTCTGCAATGAGAAAGGACGGGTGGAAGAGTGTTGGTTTTCCCAGTGACAACACCAGACTCATCAACACAGTCAGGAACTTGCAGCTGCACACCCACTGCTTTACTGAAATACACCGGTGACACAGCCAGGCCACCCATTAGACTGGGTCTAAAAGGATGGAATCCTACAAGCGGCATGGGCCTACAGGAGGAAGACAATACCTTACGGAAATCTTAAAAAGCATGCCACTGAGAGGAGACACGCGGGGGTCCATCTCCATGGGAACATGGATGCACCTTTGACTTTGGTGAGGTTGAGCAGCACCCCAAAAATGGCCCGCATGCGGTCCTCCACCGCCTTGCCCACATGGCTGCTCATGGTCTGGGGAGGCAAAGGCCTGCTGTCGGCCACCCAGACGCTGCTCTCATTGCGATTGTACTGCTGGGTGAGCTCTTCACAGTGCTGCAGCACTCTAGGGGACACAGACATGCTCTGCTGAAGTCCTACAACACACTCTGCTTCCTGGGCTCGTGAGCCGTCAGACTCTAGTCAGACTCTATGCTTCTATTCTGAAAGTTGTTTTAACTGTTAAATAACTCACCAAATATGTCTCTGTTCCACACTAGAAGTTAAATGTTACTTTACTTTGGAAAAAGTTGGTAAATGAACAAAACTTCTCCAAGGAAAGTCAAAATGAAAAACTTACCACATGTGGGAGGAGTACAACAAGAAGCCAACTTGCCCTTCCTGTAAGCCATGCAGGCCATGCAGGGCTCAGGAAGAGATAAGCCAGTCTGCCACTCCCGTGAGCCCAGCAGTGTGGGAGATGAGAATCAAGAACCACCCCACTCCCACCCCCTACCCGGTGAGCCACCAGCTGGCTCAGGGACAGGCTGAGTTACTAGCAACTGAGATACAAAAACAACTAAACGTTTGTACCATTTGACTGATGCTGCAGGCCTAAGGCCAGCAGTCGGAGCGCATGGTATTATGAGGGTAACAGTATGCAGTAGACCAACTATGGGGCATTTCCTTCTTATTTTTGAAATCCAATACTGTCCTCACTGTTTAATTTTGTTCCGATTCACTGTTTTGTTTCATGTTCTGTTTTGTTTGATTTTCCTATGTCTGTTGGTACAGACAGCGACTATAAAGGTAACAAGTGATATTATGGGAGCAATTGTTGCCCTCCTATTATCCTGTTTTAAAGTTCTGTAGGTACCACTTTGTTTTGTACTGATTAGCTTTATTCTGTTTTGTTAGGTTTTATTCTCTTTAAAATATAAAACTTTTAAAAAAAATCACACGCTGACCATGGTGGCAAGCCTGGTTCCAACTTGAGGAGGGCTGAAGCAGAAGACCCCTTCATCAGGGCATCAAGGCCAGACTGGGCAACATACTGAGACCCTGCTTCAAAATCCAAAAGCCCTCGCAGCAGGTATACTTGGTGGCACACATCTGTCATCTTAGCACTCTGCAGGACTGAGGGAGCAAGGTCCCCAGTCTGAGCCCAGCCTGGGCAACCTAAACTTAGTGTGAGACTCTGCCTCAAAATGTAAACCAAAAAAAGCTGGGTGTGTCACTCAGTGCTGAGGCCCAGGTTCAGTCACAGTAACAGAACAAATACTGCTGGCAGAAATTTGTATCTGTACTGCCTATGTCACTTTTCCCACGTCTTCCAGAGCTCTCCAAGCCATGAGAAAAATCTGATATGCATTAGAGTGAATCATTATTTTTAAACCTGAGGGTAAAGTGACATGTCTCTTGGCAGCTGTACAAGGGTTATGACCTACATCCAAAATTTCTTCAGAGTTTACCAAAAAGCAACAAAGAAGACAGAATCCTAAGTTACTTCTGAAGGCTTTGTGCTTTTTAAAGCAGTACTGGGGACAGAACCCAGGGGGGCTGTATACCGGACTCCACCTCCAGCCCCTTCCTCTTTCACTGAGACAAGGTTTTACTAAGGTGCCCACACTGGCCTACTTGTGATCGTCCTGCCCCCTCTTCTTAAAGTGGGGGAATTACAGGGGTGTGCCATGCGTCCAGCTGAGAAGGCTCTCTTTAACTATCAAGGCTGCTCATTATTACTACTACTGTTTGCACTGGGGCCTGAACCCAGGCTCATGCCTGAGTAATGTTTCTTCTAGTGCAGTGGGGCAAACCCATGGCACCCATACCACAGTGGGCAGTTTGTATCACTGAAAGCTTCGCCATCACTGCTCTAGTAACCAGAGGTCAAGCAGGCTGAGCTGGGCAGTTCACTCTTCATGCATCACACACCACATAAACCTCTAAAAGTAAACCTATGAGGACTGATCCTCTCCCATTTGGCTATATTCTAAAACACGCTTCAGAAATCTGATATGGTGTTCCTGAATAACTTACAACTCTGGTCAGGAAGGTGCTTCTCATGATGTCTAACTTAAACAATTCATTCTCCTGATGTTTGGGGTGTTAACAGATTTATCCTGTTACTACCAAGAACTTGACTGTCTTGAGGGAGCAGCAGTAACACTCACCAACCTCATGAAGTCCACGGCTGCACCTGTCATGGTTCCACTGAAAACCGCACCATGCCCCACGAATGCTCTTCCACATGTTAATTCTGACCCCTTCTGCCACTTCTAAGACATTTGGTATGAGTGTCCTAACCACAGTGAAAACTGACCTGTCACACTTAACACTCCTGTTCTCAAGGAACTTGTCAGAAGTTAGGACGTGTGTGAAAGAGGTCCTCTTGTTTTGTTTTGTTTTGTTTTGAGACAGGGCCTCACCATGTAGTCCAGGTTGGCTCTGAACTCACTACATAGCCCAGACTAGTCTTGAACACATTGCAATCCTTCGACCTCAGCCTCCTGAGTGCTGAAATTATAGGCATGTACCACTATGCCTGGCCAAAAGAGGCCTTTTAAAATAAAATACAATATATACAGTTTTATATATTAATAAAAAATAAACAATTTACAGACACAGGATCAGCAACAGATTTACCATCAGAATAGTCCTTGGTAAGGGAGTCTAACACCTGGTAAGAAACAAAGGAAACGCATGTGCAAGGGTACGCAGTGTGCTACAAATCTACAAAAGCAAGACTAAAAAGGAGATGGAGGTGTTGTGACATTTGGACTTATTTAAGTGACTGTAGGAGGGAAAAAGGATAAGGTCACAGATAAAAACAAGTCGGGCCATGACTGGCAATAATTCAAGCTAAGCAATGCATACAGAAGGTTTATTACACTACTCTGCCTACTTCTGCTAAGTTTGAAATTCTCCAAAATGTAAGGTAAAAAGACAGGTAAACTCAAGTCTGATGGCATTAGGCCCTCCCTTGAGAAAGAAAGAGGACCTATCCAAAGACAACAAGGAATCACAGAGGCTGGGTTTCAGATTCTTTTTTCCAAAGGGGTGACCTGGAGAAAGTTAACTCCCTGTGGTACCATGTTGGCTAAGCAAAAGGGCAGAGAACTGCTAGGACAAAGAAAAAAACCAGGCCAGCGCTATCAGGACGCTGAAGTTGAGAGGAGAGAGAGCGGGATGGGAGATGCCCACATACCCAGGTGACAGCATTAGCCTGATTGTGATAAGCCCAGGGCAGGGAAGGCTCAAACCAGAAGTTACTTGGAGCTAGGAAAACAGGCAGAAATAGAGTACAGAAGAAGAGCACCAACCACCACAACGAAAAGGAGTAATGGTTTACTACATGCTGTGTGCATACCCTTCCGGGCCTTACAGGTTAACTTTTCAATACACATAACATGCAGAAAATACTTTAAACCCTTCAAAATCTGCTCTATATATGCAAGTATTATTCACACATGTATCCCAAAATGTATCTGTCTGTATACTACATGTTAACGGATCTATAAACTCATTTCGTTGTAAGCACTGCCCAAGGCGGGCAGAATCAATCATTACCCACCTTGTAATAAACTTGCAGCAAATAAGTGGCTTGTCTATGATGCTAGAGAACCCATACTCAGGGGTTCTGACTCTAGAATTTATATGCCCAACTTCTTCTGCTCTATGATATACAAAGCATTTACAGATCTTAACAGAGACTTTATTTCTTTTATGAAGTAAGATTTTGAAGACTTACTTAGCAGATGAAATAATGAGTTGTGAATCTTTATACGCTATCAAGTAGCTCTGATTCTCTGGATTATGCACCGTTACCTAAATAAGAGGAACACAAAATGATTATGGCAATTCAAACCTCTTATTTATTCACGTTAGCATCATACTCTACCTAAGTTCCTTGTCATATAAGAAACAGTTCCTGACTCAAAGGTTCTAAATTGAAAAGAACAGAGCCACCAATTAATCATAAATTTAAGAAGTCACTGCCATAATTACTCATTCATGATATATTCTTTACTACACATTTACTGTAATGAACTGCTAAGCACTCTGAATGTTAGAAATCCCCATCTTATAAACAGATGAATACTTTAAAATTTGTAGGTGGATACAATACCTGTGATCTAATATATCCAAAGTATCCTATAAGACAGAAGACACAATTTCATCTATATTAGGAGCTCATGCCAATTTTTCTAAAGCACCAAGTTAATCCAACCTAATCAACAATTACCATCCTGAAACTTACTGGTGGTGAAACCTGAACCCATACCCAAATAGGTAAAGTTATGCCTAAAAGCCAAAAAACAAAATATACTAATGACAATATATTGTGACTATAATATTACTTAAAGAAAAGCTAAATAAATACTTATTAAAAATAACCACTTTCGTTGGGAATTTAGCTCAGTGGCATAAGTGCCTGCCTGGCAAGTGCGAGATCAAGAGTTCAATTCCCAGTTCCAAGAACAAAAACAAAATCAAAAACAAAACAAAACAAAAAAAAAAAAAAAAACCCAGTTTCTGGTAGGGATGGTGGTGCATGTCTGTAATTCCAGCCTGCAGGAGGCTTGAGATAGGAGGATTGCTGCAAGTTCAAGACCACCTTGAACTACAAAGTGAGACACTGTCTCAAAAAATGAAAGAAAAACAGAAACAAACAACCTTCTAATTTTGAAGCTTTGGGTTCCATCAATCCCCAACACACACAGACACAAACCCCATCTCTGATTTTGGTGAACTACTGTTTCACGCAAAAAAGTTAATGCAGATAAGTAGCATTCCACATTATGTAGAGTAATAAAGTGGCACACAAGCTTTATCAATAAACTTGCATGTAACATATCATTTGGAGCAATACATATTATTAAAATAATAAACGTTTATTTATTTTAAAAAATTTTTGAGATAGAGTCATGCTATGTAATCCATGCTAGCCTCAAACTCACAGGGGTCCTCTGGCCTCAGCCACCCAGGGGTGGGATTACAGTGTGTATCACCACGCCTGGCTATTTTTTTATTTTTTGAGGCAGGGTCTCACTACATAGTTCAGGCTGGCCTTGAACTCACTAGGTAGCCAGGCAGGCCTCAAATGCATGGGGATCTTTCTGCCTCTTCTTCCCAAGTGCTGGAATTACAGGTGCATGCCACTATACCCAGCTAAAATGTTCATTTAAAGCACTCCTAGGAACAAAGCATGGGGTGTCAGTTGCCCTGTGTGTTCAACATCCAAGATAACCACTTTACACCGCTAAACTGCTCAAGAAATGCATAAAACTTTACTGCAGGTGAAAAAAAGCAGAGTTCCAACAAGCCAAATATAAAATATGTGGTGACTACATGCAACAATCACAAAACTGCATGACTCAGGGGCTGGGAGAAATCCATTTCGGTGGTAGAGGCCTTGCTGGTGCACACACGGCACTGAGTCCAAACCAGCTCCAGGATAAAGGGTGGGGGGGATCAAATAACTGTCCCCAAATAGTTATCTATACTTACACCTTCCAGAACTCATAAACATCTCTCTGCTCCCCATAACGGGGCTACCAGTTTTTCTTTATCCTCATCTCTACTTAAATGATCCACACACTCTTTGACTAGGTGAAAAGAAACAGATGTCAGTTACAGCTTCAAGCTCAGGACTCAACCCTTAGAGACCCTTCAAAGTCACTGGTCAGCATGCTAGGCGTGTGCTGGAATCTCCACAAATGTAATTTGTTCTATGTTTAATACTGGGTCATTGTGAAATGTATGGTACTGTGTTCCCATAAACTCCCAAGGTCACAGTATCGATAGCTTCTACTTCAAAAGTCAAGAGATTTGTAGGATGCTACTAAAAGGGGACCTTTTCAAACTGAAAAAATTCTTTTGCACAGAGTATTTTCTCTGTGCTGTAAGTATGTAAACACAACACATACCCATACGTGTGCACCCATTTCCATACCTTTATCTATGTTGTGATCCAGACCACCCAAAATCTGCAGTTCTTCTTTAAACCAGTTTCATGCTAGTTTAGAAGAAAGGGACAACAGTGTCTCCATCGCCAAAAGCCCAGTCAAGAAATCAGAGGCACACATGCCATTTGTGAATGCTGACTCTTAGTGATAATTCTGAAGCAACAATTTTAGAGGCTGTTGTTCTTTACAAACATCTATTTCATATTACTAACGGGTTTTTTTTTGTTTTTGGGTACTAAGGATTGAACTCACAACCTGATGCTTGTCAGGCAGGTGCTTCCGCCACTGAGCTAAAGCCCCAGCCCCAGTTTTGTTTTGTTTTGTATTGTTTTAATAGAACCGTGAGCACTCGTAAGTGAAAATGAGCTAACGTTTATCAATATAGTCAATGTGGACAAAATGCTTTTAAGGTTTAAGTGTGGGGCTGTGTTTACTGTAGTGAGTTGATTCGCCAGGAAAAATGGAACAAATTAACACTCCTAGGAACAAAGCATGGGGTCCCAGTTGCCCTGAGTGTTCAAGATCCAAGATTACCGCTTTACACCGCTAAATAGTACATAATAGTCACCCAGTGGTTGGTGGTCCTGCATGTTTCTCTGAGTGTCCTGTTCCTTATTTGCTGGTCAGGTTCCTGTTTTCCATCTACTCTAAAATACAAATCCTTTGCTTGATTAGGTGGTATAGAATGACTAGTCTTAAAATTTGGGCTGCAGGGTGAGCAGTGTGGACATTCTTTAAATGGCTATTATGACAAAAGTCATACTATTTTTAACTACATTACGTACTAATACTCCAGGGTCCCTGCTAGAGGGAGCACAAAAGGGGAAAGCAATTTTAAAACCAGGTTAACTTTATGTTCTCTCTTAGTTCATTTCCTACTGCATACAGACACTTCCAACAAACAGTAATCGGTTCTTGATGTAATAAAGGAACTTTTGCATAACAGAAGAAATGCTTTAATTAGCAAAGCCTGAAGAGACCTGGTTTTCTATCCAAAGCTTCTGCCCTTCAAAAGATGCAAATTTACATGCTGGCCTATATTATATTTGGAACAGAATGTAAATTAATATATTTAGAAACATCAACAACAGATCTTACTAGTATCACAATTTTAAAACAGGGATCCAGAATATTGTGCAATATTGTATTTTAAATTGTTGTTCAAGGTGACCAGTAGAAAATTAGACTACAATACTACAAATACAAATTCACTGTGTCCATGTCTCATTCTAAGCCCCGTGGAGAGGAATTTAATGAAAAATTTAACTTGGCCCTGGTGTATGAGCCAGGCCACCACAGTGCTGCAGATGCCCACAAAGGCACCACAGTTAGGAAGAAGGGACATAATAATTCAGTATAAATACAGCGAAAATGCCTTTGTGTTTTTATGTTAAAAAGAAACTTTAATGTCTATTTCTATTGGCACAAAAAGACATTTTATGTAATCTTCAGTATTTATGATTAGCTGCTTTAAAATATAGCCTATAAGCACTTTATTTGAAATATATCATTGCTCAGAATACTATTATGTGCTGGGTGTGGTGGTGCATGCCTGTAATCCCAGCACTCGGGAAAGGGTGAGGCAAGAAGATTGCTGAGTTCCAGGCCAGCTTGGGCTACATACATAGTGAATTCAAGGCTTCCCTGAACTGCATAGTGAGATCCTGCCTAAAAAAATGGGGGGCAGGATGGTCAGGGGTTTAGCTCAGCGGCGTAAGTGCCTGCCTGGGAAGTGCAAGGTTGTGAGTTCGATCAATGGTACAAGAAGGGAAAAAAAGCCAGCCAAACAGACAGACAGACAGACAGACAGACACCATTAGAAATGGTAAAAAGATTATTTGTGGCCAACGGTTTAGCTCAGTGGCTAAGTACCTGCCTGGCAAGCACAAGGTCATGAGTTCAATCCCCAATACCAAAAAAAAAAAAAAAAAAAAAAAAAAAAAAACCATTAAAAACAAAACAAAACAAAAAAACCAGACTACTATGCAATTGTGTTCGCTCTCAGTTATTTAAGTATATGATAATACTATATTATACCTAAGAATTACCTTGCCTTAGCACATTTAACAATACTAATACATTTCAAGGGAGAAATTCGTATAAGAACAAAATTCATACTTAGTTTTCCTTGAATGAAACAATTTATGATGTATGTGTTGCACAATTTAAAACAAACTGAGGAAGGACAAAAAACACTCTTAAACTGGCTGTTGTGCTGTCTGGTTTGAACCAGGTCAGAGATTTCAGGAAGGGAACGGAACAAGGCCTAAACAGAACTCCCTGGAAGATGAGCAAGCAGCTCCACTTCGACTAGACCTGGCCCAGTCTCCATACACTGATAGGTGCAGAGCCAACCAGGCCAATCCTTTATCCCATCAGCCGGCTTTAAGCAATGTAAGCCAGGCTGGCTGAGGAAGTGTAATCTCTGAAGCTAGGTGACAGTGCCTGGTGCCTCCCAAAAAACATGGCTCAGCCAGATGGAATGAAGAGCCACCACCTCACAGCTATCAACTGGGATGGAGATCAGATCTACCCCAAAACATTAGGCACTTCCCTCAGTTGTGTTATGCAGATTATTCTCTCCCAGTGCTGCAGAGGTGATCTCAGGCTTCCTACCTAGCCCAGTTCACAGGGTTCCTGAATTTCTCACCACTCTGTCACTCACCTACCAGCCTCTCCCCTTGAGAGTTAATAAAACCTGGGTTGGGCTCAGGGTCATGGCCTTTGTTCCAATGAATCTTCAACCAAGCTGGACTTAGAACCCTTTGGCTCCCCAAAATTGTAATTATGGCTTAGTGTCTTTGTTCTTGCTAGAATAAAGTTGCACTACAAGTGGTATACTGGAAATAATTTATTCAAATTCCAATAACTTTTCCACAGGATTACAAATATAAACTTCCTGGACTGAGATGAGGACTGGGAAGAACTCTGTGTACCTCAGAAAAACCTGCCAAGCTGTAAACCAAGGCTAGGAGGCTAAAGGATTTCTCCCAATCTACACAGCCACGGTGACAGTCACCAGTGGAAGGCAGGCTAGAACTCACCATTATGTTTTCTAGATCAAGATGCTTATTGTGTACAGTTTCACATAGTCTCCAGATTTTCTCCTTGATTTTGTTCATATCCTTCTCATTCAGCAGCTTAGCTGATGAAGCATGCTGTTCTAGCTTCAGGAGTTGGATCATGAGATCTTGGCTAGCTCTGTCAAGATCCATGTTGAAGCGATCTCGACTCAGTATGTACATGAGGGCAGCTGAACAGAGGGACAGGTTCTTAGAGGGCCAGGAAGAGAAAAAAGGGTTTGTGTAAGTAAGTTCTGACAATCAGGAAACAAGACCAGCACTGACGAAGCTGGCATGTGCTTACAAGTTAAAACATGTAAAACTCAGGTTGCTGGTCATATAATCTTTGATTTACATGCTTGATTCAGTAAATGCTTGATTCAGTGGCCTCTCTAAATATTCTAGGGAAACACGACTACTAAAAAAATAAAGCACCATTTCTTAGAAATTTTCCTTTCATCCACCTTCCTTATGTGAATGTTCAAAACTGAAAGAATAGAAGCCAAATTACATATTCCTTTGACAATTTGGAGCTATAGTTAGAACATTAATTGTCAGATAGCTATTTATGACATAGAAACCATTTTTCAGTTCAAAGTCAGTAACGTAAATGCTTCAAAATCTGCAACAAACAATTAGCACAAATTTCCCCCAAGAGAATACACATACACATATCTGACAGTTATATAAACCTAAGATAATGAAATAAATGTATTTGGGGTAATTTCTTTAAAATAACCAAATCTGGTTACTCAGTATTTTCCCATCAACTGTTAATGAAATATGCTCTCAAAATTCACCGAGTTCAGTAACTAGCATACTGTTCATAACAGGTTCTGCAACCTACAAATGCTAAAGGTGATCTAGTTTAGATCAATGTCAAAACAACCTCCAATATCCATGGATTCAGGTGCCAGCAGAAGAAAGAAAATGCACCCATAGGAGCGTGCACAGACCTTGCCCATCGCTATCGCTGGGTCACCACCCCTCAACAGCCCAGGGAAGGAGCACTCCCCCATGAGCACACGGCATAAACACCACATCTAGAGACTCTCTGCAGCTCCCAAGGACCAGCCAGACACTTGCCACTCCCATGCCCTTTCATGGAACTGAGCAAAATGCCATGGACTCTGCTACCCTGCAAGTCCCCAACACGCTCCCAATGGGTAATGTCCAACAAGCAAGACTGAAGATATTCTGTATTGATTTTAATGTACAAAACAAAATAATCCAACGACTTAAACTCTGAAGCTCTCACAGGAGAAAAAGTTTGGAAATTTAATCAAGTGACTGGTTAAATGATTATATTGCAAACTATTTTCAGAAGTGAGGGTGCCACAGTCAAGGCTACAGGGAACCCTGAGCCAAGGAAGCACAGTAATGTCTGTTTGCTCTCACTGCATAACAAAGCCAACTGACTACACCTGTATGTCCTTCTCCTTGTGGCCATCTTGCCGCACCCTGGTAAAAAGTTATGCTCTCAAACTCAAACTTGGGAGAACTGCTCTTTTCAACAGACTTGGTATGAGACTAATTCTCTACCATCCACTCTGCATTTGGAACCTAGTTTCCTTGAATAAACATACTTAAAGCCACCTCAAAATACCACTGTGATAATGGCTAATGCAAGTAACACTACTTTTTCTAGCTTCTGACAGTGATAAAGCTAATTATTAACAGAAAGTGTCAAAGGCAATATAAATGCAGAATTTATTTTATTCTCAATGTGATCAATATGATTATCTTCCAGTTTCAATATTGGCCAAAAAGTTTAAGGAGTTCAAATCATTAATATCAAACAAGATTGTTTTATATAGAAGACACCATGCTTACAGAATTAAAGATCCAGCATGGTACATTAGCTATGATAAAAGAATGAAAATTTAATAGCACAAATGGACAAACTAAGAGGCTTTTAAAAAACTTCGTAAGAAAATACTCAAATGTCATTAAGTGAAACCTACAGCTTTCAGAATTAATGTAGAGATAAGATATTTCATGATACCGAACACCAAACCAACCCTACAGAGAGTGCTGAAGGACATTCTAGAGGAAGATAAAGATGACCATGGTTCCAGGGACAGTAGCAGAGGGGAGTCACCAAGCAGGGCAGGCAACTGAGCAGAGGAGAAACATGGGGGACCAAGGGCAGAAGCAGAGCATGTTGGAGATGAGTCAGTATGTGTCGGCCATAACACTAATATAGACGGCCTCAACTTACCAATACAAAGACACATGAGCAGAGTGGATTGGGAGACAGGATTCGTCAATATGCTGTCTACAAGAAACACATCTGACTACAAAGAAAATTCATGGACTGAAGGTCAGAGGAGACAAGACAATGCTCCATGGGACAGAGACCCAGCAAAATGCAGGAGCAGCTAACCCCTCAACCACTGAGCAGATAAGAAAGACATGCTATTTTTATACAATGTAAACTACCAAGCTATAGTTTCAGCTATAAAGAACGATAACCTCGAGGTTCCTGTAGGTAAACAAATGCAACCGGAGATCGTGCTCATGAGTGAACCAGTTTGGACTCACAATCGTGAACATATGTTATCGCCCTAGTATGGAAAACTGAACGAGTCAGTGGGATCCAAAATATACCGACAGGTATTGTGAAGGTGAAAGGGGAGGAGATGTCTAAAAAAGGAAGGTGGCAGCCACTGTTAATTTCCTATTACCTTGTGTTGCAGTCCTGTATTGTTTTCATTGTTTGGTTTGGTTTGGGTTTATTTTATTTTGTTTGGTTAGATTCAATCATGTCTGATGATATGGGCAGCTATTTTGAAGATGACAAGGTATTGAGCAAATAAAATGAACTCAACCTATAATTTGGATACATTCACATAAGTATTCAGTGAGGGTATTTTCTGGTGGCCAAGTAGACTTAAGATTTTTCACTAAAGATTCTCAAACTCAAAAACATAAAATACCTGGTGGTGCTGGGAATCATCCAAGGTTTTGAAGACCATTGCAACCATTCCATGTGCTCGTAGGTGCATTCGGAAACTAGGCATGGCACACTTGGTACCCAGGATACTAACACTAGGGGAAGAACACGACTGTTCAGGAAAGCTGAGGTGACTAGTACATTGGTTTTAAGTTTAAGCAATACCAAAACGAGCAATGATAAGGAGGTGCGGATCACAACATAAAAACCGTGAGCAGGGCTGGCAGGGTGACGCACACGGATAATCCGACACTCTGGGAGGAAGAAGGCCACCAAGTTCAAGCCCAGTCTGGGAAACTTAGTGAGACTCTGCTTCAAAATACAAACTTAGAAAGGGCTGTGGATGTAGCTCAATGGGAAAGCCCTCCTTCAAGTCCCAATATTACCAAACCAAAAGCCACAAAATTCCAAGAAGCGTAGCATCATCCCTGGCACTACTCCAAAGGCTGCAGCAGTAGGATGGCAAGCTGAAGGTCAGCCTGGGTAGACTGTTGCAAAACAGCAGACCTTTTGGCTGCCATGCAAGAGGCTCTGAGTTCAATCCCTGGTCTCCCCTCCCCAAAGTCCTAAACATTATGAGAAATCCAAATATAAAAAAACATTAATGCCTATTATGTGACTGGTTACTCCTTTTTGACAAATAAATGACTGTTTTCAGCACATTCCTTACATTAGCACTGCCCTTAACCGTCTCATCTGACCTTCCCAATGCTTCTGATGCATGAAACCTATGATGATATTAGACTGAACACTTTCAACTGACTTGTAATTCAACTGAACAAAGATGTTTAACTCACTGCAATATGCAAAAGATGATCTGTATTTTGACATATTGAATTAACAACATAGTTAATCTGATTTATCACTTGATATATGAAATTCTGAGATCAAAAAACATTCTTTGCTATTATATTTTTTGTTTTAGGCCACTGAAAATTGAAGCCTATACTATGCCCCCCCCCCCAAAAAAAAAGACTAGATCACTTTGCTTTCCCTTGATTGCATGGAATCCAGTCCTTTACATTTTAGTATCACTGCTATATGCTACAAAATCAAAAAATTTGCTTTTTGCACATTCTATGTCTAGGTGAAAAAAAGTCAATGACCCAGAATGTACATAGCTATAAAACATAAATGTAAGCGCTTACCTAAGACAACATGTGTTCAGAGGCTGAGTGCTCCTTAAGCCACTTAACAAGTTCTCAATGTCATCAGTGAACTCTTGGTTCTCACCAAATTCCACAACGTCATTTTAAGTGCTTCACGTGCTGAACAACAGTATACAGCTGCCAAGAAAAGAGTAGGGCTACCCCTTGGTAACTTGGATCTAGCATATATGAATGTCAGGTTCACTGCCTTTTATGTGAAAGTACTGTACATACAATGCTTCACTAGATGGCAACTAAAACACTGTTAAAACATTGGCTGTGGTAGGACAAGATAAAATTGCGGCTCACAGCTCTGGCTACCAGTGCACTGGCATTTCTGCACATTACAGGGCTATATGTTACATACAAAGGGCTATCCACAGGCAATAAACTGGTCATGGCTGCTTACTTCTTTGTCTTCTTTTCTGCACTTAAGTGCAGTAACTATATCTTGGTAGGTGTGAGTAGTATTGTCACAGTTTTTATCACTTTGAGTGGTGGTGCAGGAGCCTTAAAAACTCCATCATCTTTTTGATTTGGTTCCTTTGAAGACAGCATCACCTATTAATAAAGGTATTAAATTAGTTGTTCTAAATAAATATTTTGAAATAGTAACATCTTGTCTTATTGTAAGCTCAGCTTTAAAAAAGTAAACAAAGTTTAAAAGGGGTGAGGAGTACAGCAGAGGCCTCTGAAAGGTCCTAAGCGATAGTTTAATTCAAAAGGTCCTAAGAGATACTTTAATTCCATGCACAAGCAGGTATACATGTTTTACATGAAGAAGGACCACTCAGGAACTCCTTGTCATTTTAAACCTTATATTTATATGACTTGTCTCTACCCAGGACAAAGAATGAATAAAAAAACCACAAGGGCATGCATAAATAGCACTGATATGCTGCTTTGGAGTGGGACAGTAAAACAACAGACAAATGAATGCAGGCTGAGTCACAGATCAGCAGCATAGCACCTGCCTAGCAAGCACAAGATCAGGAGATCGATTCCTAGTAAGAAAAAATAAAATAAAAGAAAGAAAAAGAATCTGAAAGCACAGAAAGCCACAGTAGTTCATTTAGATACTTTTAGCAAGAGCTGGGCAATGTGGTGAATGACTGTCACACCAGCATTTCATTTGAGGGGCTGAGCATGAAGACTGCTGTGAGATTGAGGCCAACCTGGACTACATAGTGAGATCCTGTCTCAAAAAACAAAAACAAAACTAAAGTAATAGTTACAACAAGAATAGGGCACACATCAGCGTGTTGTATGATTCCCAAGTACAAATAAAAATGCTTCACGCTGGGCCAGGGATTCATTTAGTTCAGCAGCATAAGCATCTGCCTAACAGGCATGAAGTCATGAGTCCGATCCCTGGTACCAAAAAAAAAAAGTTTCATTCTTCCAATAAGAGTTTATGGTGGTGCACACTTCTAACGCTAGCACTCCAGGAGGCAGAGTCAAGAGGATCTTAAGAATGAGCCCAGTAGCTGGGTGTGGTGGTTCACTCCTATGAACTCAGTACTCAGAAACTTGAGGCAGGAGGACCGTTGCAAGTTTGAGATCAGCCTGGGCTACACAGTGAGCCAAAGACCATCCTAAACTGCACAGTAAGAATGAGCCCAGTGTGGGTGATCCAGGGAATTAAGAGAGACTCTTTCTCAAGATAAAAGAAGTAAACAATTCTGGGGATGTGGCTCAGAATGAAGGCCTTGGTTCAATCCCAGGCAAGGCAAGGGGGGTGGTGGCTGAAGAAAATCTACTGGAGAGAAAACGCTATACTGTGTTTTACACATCTGTTTCTAGGCCTGGGGTGTGTGGCTCGACTGTAGAGTACTTGCCCAGCATGCAAAGGGCTCAGAGTTCAAAACCCAGCAGCACATGGGGAGCAGGGGGGCACAAGCATCAGGTGTGATGGCACCTAGAGGCTGAGGCAGGAGGCCTGAGAGTTAAGAGACCACCCTGGGCTACAGAGTTCAAGGTCAGTCTGAGTTATGCAAGGAAGTCTCAAAAGCGGGAGGGGGTGACCTCTAATCCCTATTTTTTAGGTTGCTGTTATAAAGAACTCATTCCTCTGACAGCTCTAGTCTGTACCGCTAACCTAGTAGTTCTCATGTATGACACTATGGAGCTTCTAAAAAAAAAAAAATCCAACTTTTTTTTTTGGTACCAGGGATTGAACTCACAATCTCGTGCTCATTACACAGGAGATTATACTGCTGAGCTAAATCCCTGGCAAAAAACAATTCAGTAAGAGTGCTTCAAAAATGTGTTCTGGATTAAAAAGTCAGTACTGCAATGTAAGAAAAATTCTCCTTTGAAAAGCAACTTAAGCAATGAAAAGCACTTTGAGATCTGTGCAGAATTAATTTATAATGTAGTCCTTAATGGTCAATATACACTTCAAATAAATAAAGTCACTCCTTAAACATTACACTGCAAGTTCTACAAGGTCTTCTGTTTTTAAGAATATTTTAATTATATTACGTTTTAAAGGCTCTCATTTATACCCTAGTAGCTACAAGAAGTTCTGATGTTCATCCCACAGTCCTCACTTTTCCAGTGAATTCAATGAAAGCTACCAAGTCTCAGTGAGCAAGGCAAAAACCTGCTGTTAATCAGAAAAGTTACAGACTCACAAATTATTCACAGGGACAGTCACTGCTTAACTAGTATACCTTACTAAAAAGCACAGAGTAAAGACGGCCAGCTTACTTACTGTGACATTCTGAGGTTTGACTACTGGTGGTCCAGGTAGTTCTTCTCATTCTGGATGGTTCCAATGTCTGGCGTTATACACAGCTTTTGTAGGTGACTGGAGAAACAAAACAGCACAAGTAAGAACTGAAATGCACCATCCGGGACTACTCCCATCATGCTCCACGCCTCTGGCAGACACAGCCACTGTGGGATGTGACCACCCAGTCAGCCCTTGGTGCCATGCGCAACCATCACCGACAAGGGGAGAGGCAGTTGAGAGCCAGCCTCCTGCCAGATGTGTACAGATTCAGCACTGATGCCCCACACTTAGCATGTTCTCAGGCACACTGTGCTGTTCTACTGACTCACACTCCAGTCTCCCATCAGTCAGGGACTTTGCAATTGGTAAGGGTGAACATGGTGCACATACCTTACCAGACACACAGGACCTAGAGGAGTATCCCATAATATTCAAATTCTAAGACACAGACACATTCACACGTGATGGGATAAAGAGTGAATTACCACACATTAATTTAGGCTATCCTGCTGCCTAAATGTATGAAAAAATCAGTTTTACAACTGAATTTCATACCTGACAAAAAATAATTGTGAACCTATGAAATTAAGCCCACAGCATGAAATCTGTACAGCGGTACAGGAATGAAACTCTTTCAAAAGAGACTGTGTAAACAAAGAGGGACAACACAGATAAATTAACCCTTCCTCTGCTCCATGCTCTACACAGGGATGCTTAAAGGATGTTTTTCAAAGTGACGGCCAACCTCACCTCATAATCCTCCTGCCTCTGCCTCCAGCACTTGGGATTACAGGTGTGTGTCACCACACCCAGCCGTGTTCTTTAAACTTCAAGACACTCTCTGATCTAATTAGAGTTTATCGATGAAACTATAATTTTCATATATTTACAACTACACACAAAAATGAGAACAAGTAGGAAAACATAACAAAACTATGGCCCAAACCCTCCATTTCCATGATCCGCATCAGAGCTGCGCAGTGCGGCTTCATTAGTAACCTGAGCAATGCGGGACTCGCACAACTGACCAGGCTTCCTGAGAAGCTGCACCAAGAGGGTGCCACACAGGTAAAGACTGTGATGCCTGCTTCCTACTGGCTACCTACTGGTTACCAGAGCCTTGGTGTGAGCACCTCTAACATGTCCAGCACCAGGGAAGCTGAGGCCATGATGACAGGCTTTTGGGAGGGCAGGTGTCTCAAACTAGTAAAGTAGCTTAGTAAAGATTTCTTGTTTGCCTGGCATGTGCAAGGCCCAGACCCAACTGCGTGCCCACACACACACACACACACACACAAACACACACACACAACACACACATGAGTTTTAATGCTCTACCATTGTATTTTTTTAAAAGTACTAGCTCCAGGACCAGGGGTTTAGCTCAGCATTCTAAGTGCCTTCCTGGCAAACACAAGGTCATGAGTTCAATCCTCGGTACCAAAACAAAGTATTGAAAAAGTACTGGCTCCTAATAACAAATTATCTTTTGGTTAGTAACAAAAAGGTTGCCTAGTTCCTCATGTAAAAAACAGCAGGGCAGCTCAAGATAACAAATTGAAACACTAGAGAGTGTCCAAAGTAATTACCATGCCCATTGTTACATATCAGTGACACCTGGTATCAGAAACTAAGTTCATATACAATGATATAGGTAGAACAAACCTAAAAGATTAGGAAAATATTTCACATCAAAATTAATCAATGAAAGCTGGAGTAGTTATATTAGTATCAGACAACCTGGGTTTCAGAGGAAAGAAAATTACCATGGATAAAGAGGGTCATAACATAATAATAAAAGATTCACTTTTATTATTACCCTGAGAAAAGATAAAAACTCCAAATGTGTATTAACCTAAAAACAGAAAGACAAACATTTGAAGCAAAAACTGTAGAAACTGAAATGAGAAACTAATGTATAATTACAGAGATTCCAATATGATTTTCACATTGACTGAAATAGACAAAAGACAGTATAGGAAACTTCTATTAACCTACTATATTGGACAGACCTTTATAGAAACATTACTCAAAAACAGCAGAATACACTATTTTTTTGTATTGGGGACTGAACTCATGACTGCGTACTTGCAAGGCAGGGGCTTATGCCATTGAGCTAAATCCCCAGCCCCAAGAATACACTTTTTTTATCAAGCTTACATGGAACACTCTCCAAAAATACTATGCACTATGTCATAAAATGAAAATGAACTACTAAAAATAGCTGAATCTTAGATTTTTCTGTCCATAACAGAATTAAAATAGATTACAGTAATTAAAAGATAACAAGAAATTTACCCACAAAGATTTGAAAGCATAAGTAATAACTACCTATAGGTCAAAAGGAAAGTCTAAAGGAAAACTAGAAATATTTTAAACCACACATGAAAGAAAACATAACATTTTACTACTTGTCAGATACAGGTGAAGCAAAGCCTAGAGGGAAATCTGTGATGCTCAAATGCTAATGTTAAAAAGAAGAACCATCTCACATAAAAGCAAAGATATGAATTTAAAGGGATTGAAAAAGAAGGGTATATTATGAAGTCCAAAGCAAGCAGAAAAGGAGAAATGAATAAAAAAAAAGATCTGATCGGACATCATATAAACTGGAAACACTAAAGAACTATAATTGGTAGAACCAAAATCATTTATGAAAACATCATCAAAATGGGACAGACTTCTAACAAAGGTAACAGATTGGAAAGAAAGAAAACGCAAGGGGCAGTGTCAGGACAGTAAAAAGAGACATCCCAATAGACTCATCAGGAAGCCTCAGCCATCTAAGAGGGAAGGGATAAGCAGTGGGGGAAAAGGCCATGGGATCCGGTAGGGCACCGGAAACATGAGAGCAGGGAGAAGGGTCACCTTCACCAAGGCAAGGAGAGTACTTCCCTAGCACCTCCTAGGGCTGAACCAGCATCCAGAGGCTGGGAGATGACAAGGACCCAGCTTGGGACCAGGGAGGAACTCCAACCAGGAGTAGGCAACAGTGGCCTGCATCCATGGGTCCAGAGAAAGATGGAGATGGCCCCACAGGACCCCACCTGATGGCAGTGGCAGGAGTTCTGAGAGCACAGAGAGGGCCAATGTCCACTTCCGTGGGACTGGGGTGACTGGAGATGGGGAGTACTGGTCATCGTTTCCCAGGCTGTGCAGGGAGGCCGGCAGCAGTGTCTAGTGTGGGACTGTGTACATCAACATATGCTGGAGGGCACTTGTGGCATATGCAGCTCTGATCAACAATGTAGGACCTTGGCCCTCAGAGGAGAAAATCAGTGGAAGGCCCCCAGGCAATGGGACCACAGCCAGGGACCCCTACACACACATAAAGGAAGCACAGGGACATGGGGTACCAAGAGACAGAGAGTTCAGGCGGGGGGATTGTGACCAGGGAAAGGCAGGGCCTCCTCCTCCCTGCATGTCAGCAGACAGCAGACAACAGACAGCTACCAAGGCTGGAAGAAGCAGTCCCCACCACAGGTGACACTGGCCTCAACCCACTCATCGCCACCCTGAAAACACCATCTGGAACTCCCAGTCTGCACAACCCTCCACAAGCCTTCCCAGACATTTGGGCTCAGAAGTAGGCAGTCCCCACCCCTGCAGATGGCCTCCAGCTCCTCCTTATCCTCAGCCAGGAGTAGGACACGCCAGATGGCCTAACATCTAAGGAAGACCTGGCAGCACCACACTAACCTTCTGGACCTCATCCATAGCTGAGTCACCTCCTCTGAGAGGGTCCCAGGAGAGCAACACAGAGGGCAGCACTGGGCAGCGGAGGACTCTGCTTGGGGGAGCCCTCCACCCCTGCCTGCCACTCCTCTCAGGAGGGGCCCCTGCACCCTGCTCCTCCAGGGTGGAGATGGGGAGTACTGGTCATCGTTTCCCAGGGGAGATGACCCTTCTAAGGTGTGGGACTGTCCCCACCCCCACTTCCTCTACCACCCCATCAGGGAGAGGAGGACCAGGGCAGGAATCCAGGGTAGGCAGCTATGCACCCACTGTGGTCACCAAGTGTACCTCTCTCAGCCGGGCACATGCCGCAAAGGAGGCATCTTGCACCTGGGGCTCAGGCTGGAGGACAAGACCCTCCCTGGGAAGTTTCTGTTTCCTGGAATGGGTCTCAGGAAACCAAGTTAGGGGCCTGTGGGTGTCACTGGAGGCCGCCCTGGCTTGGCACACTCCCTCGCAGAGCAGTGTGCTCTGTCCCACTCCAAATGTGTATTAACAGAGCAGATCCAGCCTCTGACTCCAGGGCACAGGTTGGGGGCTGGCCAGGTGTGGGGGTCAAAGACAGCCCAAAGCCCTGATCCCTGAAAGTAAGACAGGCCTGCCAGGAGGACCTGGCATGCAGGGCAGAGAGCCAGGAGAGAGGGGAACCCAGAGGAGAGGAGAGGAAAGGAGAGGGGAAGGGAGCGAAGAGGAGGGGAGGGCAGGGGAAGGAAGGAAAGGGGACAGGAGGGGAGGGGAGGTGAGGGGAGAAGAGAGGAGAGGAGAGGAGAGGAGAGGAGAGGAAAGGAGAGGAGAGGAGAGGAAAGGAGAGGAGAGGAGAGGAGAGGAGAGGAGAGGAGAGGAGAGGAGAGGAGTGGAGAGGAGAGGAGAGGAGAGGAGAGGGAGTGGCCATTGCACACCTGTTGGCCCTGCTGCAAGCCTAGCTGACAGAGACTAAAGGAGGAGGCAGCCTAGCACTAGCCAGGATTCCTTGAAACTGCCCTGGCCAACCTCTACTGTTTCCTGGGCAAATAGTGCCAACCCTAGCCCCAGTCAGCAGCACACAAACTGGCTGCTCCCACCCCTAAGAGAAAGGCAGCTGAGACCTGCATCTGAGGCACAACAGTGTGAGGGTGAGCCAAGGAACTCACTGGGCTGCAAAACAAGAGGCTGCAGAGATGGCTTGGCCACTGGGCGCCCCAGGCAACAAAGATGCGGGGCCCCAGAGCTTGGGAAGGGCCATGCCTCACAGGTCTGCACACTCAGAAACGCCCACCCACAAACATGCAAGAAACAAAGCCAGGGGAACCACCAGCCGGCGTCTGCCAGGGGAAGGAGCAGCTTGTGCCAAGCAATGCACGCAGCCTCCCTAACACCCCACTTGCTCACTGCCTCCTGGGCTCACTGCCAAGGAGAGGCCCTAGGCTGTGGTCCACACGGAGAGCTCTTCTGGCCCAAGGCTGCACAGTCACCTTCCTGCATGACCTGGAACAGGTTGGTTGGCCTGGATGACCTTGATGAAGTAGGTGATCTCACTCTGCAGGATGTCATCATTCACACTAAAGTGGGAAAAGGCCAGCTGGAACACCCTGTCATCCTTGGCTACATTCATCTCAAAGATAGGACCTGGAGGAGTAGAGGGATCAAGGCTGGACCTGGAGAGGACCCCGCCTCCTCCTCTCCGGTGGCTCAGGCCACCAGGAAGAGGAGGTTTGCACTGGGATCGCCTTTACGCCTATCCCCCAAAACCTGCACCAATGCCCCCAGCCCTGCACACATGTGCACACCATTGACATGAATCAGGAGTGCACATCCCACAGGCAGCCACCAGGTCACAGGCACGGCTCACACCCAAAGCACCACATGTGCCAACCATGCCCAATGCGAGGGAGTGTGCCAAGCCAGGGCGGCCTCCAGTGACACCCACAGGCCCCTAACTTGGTTTCCTGAGACCCATTCCAGGAAACAGAAACTTCCCAGGGAGGGTCTTGTCCTCCAGCCTGAGCCCCAGGTGCAAGATGCCTCCTTTGCAGCATGTTCCCGGCTGAGAGAGGTACACTTGGTGACCACAGTGGGTGCATAGCTGCCTACCCTGGATTCCTGCCCTGGTCCTCCTCTCCCTGATGGGGTGGTAGAGGAAGTGGGGGTGGGGACAGTCCCACAGCCCCCTGCACTCTCAGCTCCAGCCAGGTGGCTGAGCATCTGGAAGTGGAGGATGGTGCCAGGAGCCTCTGGGGTGCCATCCAGCCAGCACTGGGCCCTGTTTCTGTCACCTCTGTCCTGCACTGGGGACAGGTGGGTCTCACTGGAGCCGACACTGCACCAGGACAGCTGAGGAGTCCCCACCTCACCCACTGCAGGGTTGCACGGTTTCCAAGGCTTGGCTTCATGTCCCTGGCACTGATTGCTGAGCAGGAGGAAAGAGGCCCAGCTCCTCATCTCCTTGGGACACCAGAGCCACACTGCCCACCATGGGAACCACGCCACCTTGCCTTCACACCCATTGGGGGCAGCCCTGGACACCAGTAGTCTCTTGCTAGGGGGAGCCCTCCACATCTCCCTGTCACTCTGCTTTGGATAGGTCCCTGCCCTCAGCCCCTCACACAGAGCAGATTCAGCCTCAGACTCCAGGGCACAGGATGCCGGGCAGGCCAGGGATGGGGGCCAGAGAGAGCCCAAAGCCCTGATCCCTGAGAATGAGGCAGGCCTGCCAGGAGGACCTGACATGAAGGTCAGAGATCCAGGAGGGAGGAAAAGCAATAGGAGGCAGGAGAGAAGGTAAGGGGACTGGAGCGGAGAGGATGGGAGGGGAATGGAGGGGAGGGGAGGGGAGGGGAGAGGAGAGGTGGTCTCTGCAAACCTGTTGGTCCTGCTTCAAGCCTAGCTGACAGAGACTAAAGGAGGAAGCAGCCCAGTACCAGCCAGGATTTCCTGCGGCTGCCCTGGCCAAGCTCCACTTTTTTCTTGGGCAAACAGAGCGCCCCTCCGGCCCAGTAGGTGGCAGAGAAATCCGCAGCTCCCACCCCTAAGGAGAATGGCAGCTGAGACCTAGATCTGAGGCATAATGGCTCTATGGAGAGCAAAAGAACTCACTGGGCTGCAAATCCAGAGGCTGCACAGAGCCAGCTTATCCTCTGGGCACCCCAGGCACAAAAGACTTGGAAACCCAGGGACAGGCAGGGGCAAGCCTCACAAGTCTATGGGCGGGCGCAGACACTCCCACCCACAAACCCGAGAGAAACAAAGAGGCAGAGCTTCCAGCTACACCTAACAGGGGAAGGAGCAGCATGTTCCAGGCAATGCATGCAGCCTTGCAGGCCACCCGTTTGCTGGCTGCCTCCTGAGCCCACTGCCAACGAGAGGCCCAAAGGACCCAGGGCACAACGAGAGCTCAGCTGGCCCCAGGCTGCCCAGTTGCTCACCTTCCTGCATGGCCTGGAATGGGTTGTTGGCCTCTATGACCTTGATGCTGTAGGCCAACTTGTCACACTGCAGGATGCCATCCTTGAGACTCAGGTGGTTGTCCCACCTGAGTGGGAACACCCTGTCATCCTTGGCTACTTTCTCCTCAAAGCTGGCACCTGGAGAAGTAGAGGGGGACCAGCTGGAACACCCTGTCATCCTTGGGTACTTTCTCCTCAAAGCTGGCACCTGGAGAAGTAGAGGGGTCAAGGCTGGGCCTGGACAGGACCCCGCATCCTCCCCTCCGGTAGGTCAGGCCACCAGGTAGAGGAGGTCTGGGCTGGGATCGCCTTCAAAGCTATCACCCCAAAACCCGCACAAACATCCCCAGCCCCGCACACATGTGCACACCATTGAATGAATCAGGCAGGCACATCCCACAGGCAGCAATCAGGTCACAAGCACGGCTCACACCCAAAGCACCACATGTGCCTGACATGCCAAATACGAAGGACTGTGCCAAGCCAGGGTGGGGGCCAGCGACTCCCATATGCCCTGTAACTTGTTTTCCTAAGACCCATCCCAGGAACCAGAAATTTCCCGGGGAGGGCCTTGTCCACCAGCCTGAGTCCCAAGTGCAAGATGCTTCCTTTGCTGTGTGTGTCTGCCTGAGGTAGGTGCACACGGTGACCTTGGGCACCTAGCACAGGAGGCCTCCGCAGGTAAGGGGCCTGGCACCCTGGATTCTAGCTATCCAGCCTGCTCTTCCTGCTGGGGTGGTAGAGGAAATGGGGGCAGCACCATCCCACAGTCCCCTGTAATCTCAGCTCTAGCTCAGATGGCTGAGCATCTGGAAGTGGCAGCTGATACGAGGAGCTTCTGTGGCACCCTCCAGCCAGCAACAGGTGCTGCTTCTGCATCTGGGTGCCAGAAGTGGTGACAAGAGCACCTCACTGGGTCCGAACCTGAACCCTGACAGCTGAGGACTCCCCACCTCACACACCTCAGGATCACAGAGGTGCCACGGCTTGGCTAGACTTCACTGGAAATCATTGCTGGGCAGGAGGAATCAGGCCCAACTTCTCAGCTCCTCATCACACCAGAGCCACACTGCCCACCATGGGACCCATGCCACCCCGCACTGCAGTGCTGTCACACCTCTGCTGGGGGCTGCACTGGGCAACAGTGGACTCTGATAGGGGGAGCCCTGGCATCTCCCTGCCACTCCTCTCTGGAGGGGCCCCTGAACTTTGCTCCTCCTGCAGAGGAGTTCCAGCCTCAGACACCAGGGCACAGGATGGGAGGCTGGCTAGGGGTGGGGGCCAGAGGGAGCCCAATGCCCTGATCCCTGAGAGTGAGGCGGGACTGCCAGGAGGAACTGGCATGAAGGGCAGAGATGCAGGAGGGAGGGAAAGCAAGAGGAGAGGGGAGGGAATGGGAGGGGAGGTAAGGGGACAGGAGAGGAGAGCAGAGGAGAGGAGAGGAAGTGGCCTCCAAACACCTGCTGGCTCTTCTGCAAGCCTAGCTGACAGAGATTAAGGAGGAGGTGGCCCAGCACCAGCCAGGATTACCTGCAGCTCGCCTGGGCAAGCCCCAGTTTTTTCCTGGTCAAAAAGAGCCCTCCTCCTACACAGTAGGTGGCAGAGAAACCCGATGCTGCCACCCGTTAAGGGAGAATTGCAGCTGAGACCAGGGTCTGAGGCACAATGTCCAGATGGATAGCTAAGGAACTCAGTGGGCTGCAGGAGAGGCTGCACAGGGCTGGCTTGGTCACAGAGCTCCCCAGGCAAGAAAGTCTCAGTGCCCCAGAGGGCGGGGAGGGGCACACCTAGCATAAGTCTCTGGGCGCAGACAAGCCCACCTACAAACCCCAGAGAAACAAAGCAGGCAGAGTTGCCAGCAGCCCTTCTGGGGAAAGACCAGCTCTTTTCAGGCCATGCATGCAGCCTCCCAGGCGACCCCCTTGTTGAATGCCTCCTGGGCTCCCTCCCCATGTGAGGCCCTAGGCCTTGGGGCATACTTACAGCTCTGCTGGCCCCAGGCTGTGCAGTGGCTCACCTTCCTGCATGGCCTAGAACGGGTTGTTGGCCTCGTTGACCTTGACCTTGACATCATCTTCTCAGGCTGCAGGATGTCACTCTTGAGACTCAGGAAGGACAAGGCCAGCTGGAACACCCGGTCCTCCTTGGATGTTTTCTCCTCACAGCTGGCAGCTGGAGGAGTAGAGGGGTCAAGGCTGGGCCGGGAGAGGACCCCATCTCCTGCTCTCCAGTAGTTCAGGCCAACATGTAGAGGAGGTCTGGGATGAGATCACCTTTAAGGCTATCCCCACAAAACCCACACAAATGCCCCAGCCCTGCACACACATGCACACCACTGACATGAATCAGGTGGGCATATTCCATGGACAGCCACAGGGTCAAACACACAAGGTCAAAGCACCACATGTGCCCGACATGCCCAAATCGAGGGACCGTGCCAAGCCAGGGTTTCTGCCAGGGAAACACACAGGCCCCTAACTAGGTTTCCTAAGACCCATGCCAGGAACTAAAAAGTTCCTGGGGAGGACCTTGTCCGCCATCCTGAAACCCAAGTGCAAGATGCTTCCTTTGCTGCGTGTACCCAGCTGAGAGAGGTGAACGCAGTGACAATGGGCGCCTAGCACAGGAGCCTTCCAGGGGCATGGGGCCTGGCACCCTGGAGTCCTGCCCTCCAGCCTGCTCTTCCTGCAAGGGTGGAGGAGGAAGTGGGGGCGGGTACCGTCCCACAGTGCCCTGCACTCTCAGCTCCAGCTCCGATGGCTGAGCATCTGGAAGTGACACCTGGTGGGAGAAACTGCATAGGTGCGCTCCAGCCAGCACCAGGTGCTACTTCTGCCATCTCTGTTCCCGCATTGGGGACAGGAGCTCCTCACTGGGGCCGACCCTGAACCTGGACAGCTGAGGAGTCCCCACCTCACCCACTGCAGGGTCTCAGATCTCCCAGGGCTTGGCTCCACTTCCCTGGAGCTGATTGCTGGGCAGTAGCAAAGAGGCCCAGCTTCTCAGCTCCTAACCACACCATAGCCACACTGCCCACCATGGCAGCCACACCAGTCCGTGCCACCATGCCATCATACCCTGCTGGGGACAGGCCTGGGCAGCAGCGCACTCTGCCAGGGGGAGCTCTGGAATCTCCCTGCCACTCCTCTCTGGAGGGGCCCCTGTATTCTGCTCCTCCAGCAGAGGAGATCCAGCCTCAGACACCAGGGCACAGTGTGCGAGGCTGGCTAGGGATGGGGGACAGAGGGAGCCCAAAGCCCTGATCCCTGAGAGTGAGGCACACCTGCCAGGAGTACCTGGCATGAAGGGCAGAGAGCCAGGAGGGAGGGAAAGCAATAGGAGAGGGAACGGGAGGGGAGGTAAGGGGATAGGAGAGGAGAACAGAGGAGAGGAGAACATGTGGCCTCCACAAACCTGTTGGCCCTGCTGCAAGCCTAGCTGGCAGGGACTAAAGGAGGAGGTGGCCCAGCAACAGCCAGGATTCCCTGCAGCTATCCTGGCCAAGCTCCACTCTTTTTTTTTTAAATTTTATTTAAGAATAGCAAAAAAAAGGCAGAGAAAGGGTACAAGTTATACAGATTTACAGAAAAAAAAATAAACAGTAGGAAATCACTAGTTAATGGATTACATATTGTCATCTTAGAAATAATTGTTCAAGTCACAAAATTAAAGCTTGTAAAGTGGACATTCCAACAATGATACTGCAAACAGTTCTGTTCAATGATCCAATAAAACTCTGTGATATCATTTCCTATCTTATACACTTAAATATACATGCAGTTATATAGTTTAGAGCACTTTCTTTTCCTCTCTTTTGTACAATGACTATTACACATTTTGGGTTTCATTGCTCCCACGGTTCTTATTACTTTTTTGGAAGAGAGTAAAACCAAATGTGACATAACAGAACAGAATCGGTCAAGTCAAAAGGGTGGACATAATAGATAATGTAAAAACATAATACAAGGTGATCAACAATGGTTACCATAATGCCTCCCGCTATCTCTAATAGAATTGCCTATATCATTAGTTATAATATGATTGAACAAAACAGTAAAGAATAAAACTGACAAAACCAAAGCATTGGAGACATTGTAGGTCTTCAAAGTAGATAAAAGTCAACGAGAATGGTCGTTATAATGAATCTCATTATCTTCACAGCTGATGCCTAAACTTTCGAACCTGATACTATCCAGCAAAACAGAATAGGGGAACATCAGTCAAAAACAAGATGGTGAGAGTAATACAGGGCTTTAAATTGAGATAATGGAAAGTCAAAGTGGGTTACTATAATATATCCTGCTATTTTTTTCCTTTAATTAAAAGGATAAAAATAAAAAAGTAAATAATGGAGTGGAGATTGAGATAAAAGAGGGCATAACAGCGAAACAGTGCTGATCAAAACATAACCATTTAAGCAGAATAGTGTTTCACCCCAAGCTTCACTCTTGTCCTGTGCAAACACAGCCCACCTCCAGCCCAGCAGGTGGCAGAGAAACCTGCCTCTGCTACACCTAAGGAGAATGGTGGCTGAGACCTTGATATGAGGCACAATGGCTCCATGGAGAGCCAAGGAATTCACTGGGCTGCAAAAGGAGAGGCTGCACAGGGCCGGATGAGCCACCAGGCTCCCCAGGCACTAAAGACTGGGGGCCCCAGGGGGTACGGAGGGTCAGGCCTTACAAGTCTCTGGGCACAAGCACACCCACCCACAAAGCCCAGAAAAACAAGCAGGCAGAGCCACCAGCCAGCCCAGCCTGTTGGGGGGGCGGAGCAGTTTGTTCCAGGCCATGCAAGCAGCCTCCCAGGTGACCTGATTGCTGGCTGCCTCTTGGGCTTGCTGCCAACCTGAGGCTGAGGGGCACACCAAGATCTCACTGACCCAAGGATGCACAGTCGCTCACTTTCCTGCATGGCCTGGAACTGCTTGTTGGCCTCGATGACCTTGATGCTGTAGGTCATCTTCTCAGGCTGAAGGATGTCATCCTTGAGACTCAGGTGGGACAAGGCCAGCTGGAACACCCTGGCATTCTTGGATGCGATCTCCTCAAAGCTGGCACATGGAGGAGTAGGGGGGTCAAGGCTGGGCCTGGAGAGGACTCTGCCTTCTCCTCTCCAGTAGTTCAGGCCACCAGGTAGAGGAGGTCTGGGCTGGGATCGCCTTTAAGGCTATCCCCCAAAACTCACACAAATAACGCCTGCCCCCACACACGTGCACACCATGGACATGAATCAGGCGGGCACATCCCCTGGGAAGCCATGAGGTCACACGCACCGCTGAAACCCAAAGCACCACATGCGCCTGCCATGCTTAATCCGAGGGACTGTGCCAAGCCAGGGCAGCCGGCAGGGAACCCACAGGCCCCAAACTTGATTTCCTAAGACAACATTCCAGGAATCAGAAAGTTCCTGGGAAGGGCCTTGTTCTCCAGCCTGAGCCCCAGGTGCAAGATGCTTCCTTTGCTGCGTGTGTCCGGCTGAGGGAGGTGCACACGGTGACCACGGGTGCCTAGCACAGGGGCTTCTGTGGGTACGGGGCCTGGCACACTGGATTCCTGTCCTCCAGTCTGCTCTTCCTGCGGGGGTGGTGGAGCAAGTGGGAGCGCACACTGTCCCACATGCAGCTGCACTCTGAGGTCCAGCTCAGAGGGCTGAGCATCTGGAAGTGGCAGCTGGTGCGATTAGCCTCTGGGGCACCCTCCAGCCCGCACTGGGCTCTGCTTCTGCCATCTCTTTGCCCTCAGTGGGGACAGGAGCATCTCACTGGACTGACCCTCGACTCGGACAGCTGAGGAGTGCACACCTCACTCACCACAGGGTTGAAGATTTCCCACGGCTAACCTCGCCAACCCTGGATCTGATTGCTGGGCAGGAGGAAAGAGGCCCAGCTTCTCAGCTACTTGGGACACCAGAGCCACACTGCCCACCATGGGATTCACGCTTCCATGCCATCACACCCCTGCTGGGGGCAGCCCCGGGCAGCAGTGTTCTCTACTGTAGAGGAACCCTTTGCATATCCCCGCCACTCCTCTGCGGACGGGTCCCTGTACTCTGCTCCTCCAGCAGAGCGGATCCAGCCTCCGAATCCAGGGCACAGGATGTGGGGCTGACCAGGGGTGGGGGCCACAGACAGCTCAAAGCCCTGATCCCTGAGAGTGAGGCAGGCCTGCCAGAAGGACTTGGCATGAAGGACAGAGAGCCAGGAGGGATGGAAAGCAGTAGGAGAGTAGAGGGGAGGGGAGGGGAGAGGAGGGGAGGGAAAGGAAGGGGAGGGGAGGGGACAGAAAGGAGAGCAGAGGAGAGGAGAGGAGGTGGCCTCCCCACACCTGTTAGCCCTGCTGCAAGCCTAGGTGATAGAGACTAAAGGAGGAGGTGGACCAGCACCAGCCAGGATTCCCTGCAGCTTGACCTGGCCAAGCTCCACTTTTTCGCTGAGCAAACAGAGCCCACCTCCAGCCCAGTAGGTGGCAGAGAAACCCAATCCTCCCACCCCATCTCAAAGGAGAATGGCTGCTGAGACCTGGATCTGAGGCACAATGGTGTGATGGAGAGCCAAGGAACTCACTGGGCTGCAAGAGGAGAAGCTGCACAGGGCCCGCTTGGCCAAAGGGCACCCCAGGCATGAAAGACTAGGGGCCCAAAAGGGGGACGAGGGGCAAGCCTCACAGGTCCCTGGGCGCAGACACGCCCACCCACTAACCACAGAGAAACAAAGCAGGCAGAGCTGCCAACCCCGCCTGCAGGGGAAAGGAGCAGCTTCTTCCAGGCCATGCACACAGCCTCCCGGGCAACCCACTTGCTGGCTGCCTCCTGGGCTCGTTGCCAAGTTGAGGCCCTAGACCGAGAGGCACACCGAGAGCTCTGCTGGCCCCAGGCTGCGCAATGGCTCACCTTCCTGCATGGCCTGGAACGGGTTGTTGGCCTCATTGACCTTGATGCTGTAGGTCATCTCAGGCTGCAGGATGTTATCCTTGAGATTCAGGTGGGGCAAGGCCAGCTGGAACACCCTGTCATCCTTGGCTGCGTTCTCCTCAAAGCTGTTAACTGCAGGAGTAGATGGGTCAATGCTGGGCCTGGAGAGGACTCCACCTCCTCTTCTCCAGTAATTCAGGCCACCAGGGAGAGGAAGTCTGGGCTGGGATCGCCTTTAAGGCTATCCCCTCAAAACCCACACAAATGCCCCCAGCCCCACACACAGGTGCACACCATTGACATGCATCAGGCAGGCACAACACATGGGCTGCCACCATGTCACATGCAAGTCTCACACCCAAAGCACCACATGTGCTCACCATCCCCAGTGGGAGGCACTTGCCAAGCCAGGGTGGCCACCAGGGACACCCACAGGTCCCTAACTTGCTTTCCTAAGACTCATCCCAGGAACCAAAAAGTTCCCGACAAGGGCCTTGTCTGCCAGCCTGAGGCCCAGATGCAAGATCCTTCATTTGCTGCGTGTGTCCGCAACTGGGTGCACACGTTGACCACGGGCACCTAGCACAGGAAGCTTCCGTGGGCACGGGGCCTGGAACCCTGGCTTTCTGCCCTCCACCCTGCTCTTCCTGCGGGGTGGTGGAAGAAGTGGGGGCCGGGACTGTCCCACAGTCCCCTGAACTCTCAGGTCCAGCTCAAAGGGGTGAACATCTGGAAGTGGCAGCTCGTGCGAGGAGCCTCTAGGGGACCCCCAAGCCAGCACCGGGCAGTGCTTCTGCCATCTCTTTGGCCGCAGTGGGGACAGGAGCGCAACACTGTGACCGACCCTGACAGCTGAGGAGCCCCCCCCCTTACCCATCGCAGGGTTGCAGAGTTCCCACGGCTTGGCTCGACTTCCCTGGAGCTGATTGCTGGGCAGGAGGAAAGAGACCCAGCTTCTCAGCTCCTCAGGACACCAGCGCCACACTGCCCACCATGGGACGCATGCTGCCCAGCGCCCACATGCCGTCAACCCCGCCCCCTGCTAGGGCCAGTTTTGTCTGGCCTGCAGATCTTTCCCAATTTCCAGAAAAGCCACTCAGGTTCCTAGCTAGCCGGCCACGCTCACCCGTGTGGATGATGGAGTCGGTCCAGCCATAAAGCACTGGCAGATCCACGGAGAAGCCACAGCGTCAGCACCTCCATGTCCCCAAGGCATTCTGTTGATCAGCCAGGGGCCCGGGGCGTGACCAAGGGCAGCGCGGAGCCGGCAGGTGCAGCCCCGGGCCGCTCCGGTAGAAAGGAGGCTGCTGTGCATCTCCCCCGCGCGCCGAGCGTCTCCCCCGCACGCCGTGCGTCTCCCTCCCCCCCCCCGCCGTGCGCCCTGCGCCCGCCTCGACACAGCGCAGCCAAGCGCACCCCCATACGCTTGGCTCCTGCGCAGGCACAGGTGGCGCCCGAGGCCTGAGCGCGGGCTGGTGCGGAGAGGGCGGCTCTGGTGCAAAGGCGGCAGCGGCCGGGCTCGCGGGGCTCTAAGCCTATCAATGTACAAAATAACACAGATGAACATAACAGGTATGCTAAATAATGACATCATGTTAAGAAAAGAAATTCTGAAAATAATCTATTGATTTATTTATATAAATACAAGTTAATCTCAAAGTGTGAGAAATCAGTTCATTGATTTTCTTGGTATGTGAGTTAGCTCCGACTAGAAAGATAATTCTAAATGCCACATGATACATTTCATCAGAATTGGTTCACTATCTTTATTGCTATAAAAGTTATTGCATAAACACATAAGTCAAAACACCTCAGAATATTTACTTTCACAACTAGTAAGTTATTCCATTTTTATTACAACTTTAAAAACCTTGTAAAATTATGTAATTTAATTTTCAATCATGATGTATTAAATTAATATTATTGAGAAAAATCTGTCTGAAATGTGTTACATTCTGTAAGCCAATATGCAAGTAAACTCAATGGCAAAATGAAATATTTTGACCAAAGGATGATTTAGAATATGAAATAAATCAGATTCATTCTAAAAATGTGTAAAGTACACTGACAAAGAGACATGGTGTACCGAGCAGAAATGAATAGAATCAAGACACTATGACAGATATTTATTCCTATCTAATGGCACCACAAATTGACTGAGGTTGAGTCCAGATAGTAACATTAAATCACTTTCATAAATAGAACACTGCTAATTTAAGAATATCTGCAAATCAGGCTTGTTCTGGTAACTTGTTGCTCAGTGTATGCATTGAATTATTAGATATTTTGAATATAACTATCCTTTACATTTAAAATACAGTTATTGAATGTCATGTTATAGGACCAAAATCTGACAAAATTGTTAAAAAATACACTCCAATCCATCATGAGATAGTGGTTAAAATTTTTAAGAAAATAAAATTTTGAAAATGAAATGTATTTTTTGAAAGGAAATTACATATTAAAATCATAAAAGTGAAAAATTTAAGATGTGAAATTTTATAAGAATAACATTAAAATATACAGGTAGAATAATCCTAGTGTTAAATACACTCAACATTGTCAGATTTATTGATTTAATAAACATTTGAAAAGATTTAACATATTTTAGCATATTTACTAGGTCAGTTGAAGTTCTCTTGAAATCTAAAAATGTTTTTTTAATAAATTTGAATCTTTCATTAGAATCACATTGTAAATTTCCCAATTTCATTGTTTTCTGTAAGACTTTTTCAAAATTTAACCGTATATACACTTCTTTCCTTTTTTTGTGTTTTTATGATATAAATAACTAGTTTAAGTATTTAATAATTGGATGCTGGAATATATAAATGTGATTGATTTTTATTTATTTTCTGACTTGGCAAATTTTTCTTCATAGTATTATATTTGAAAGTTTTTTCTTTCCCTACATATAGGGTCATAATTTTCTAAGACATCTCCCTTTATTTTCCATTTCATATACTTGTCACTTGCTTTTTTACTTCACTTGCTGCATGTTCCTGTAAAGATGGTAGCACAGACCAGGTGAGGTTGAGTGTAATTTCTTACTTTCCATTATTGAGCAAAGAGTACGTAATTGATCAACATACGGATTTTCTTCATGTGAGAGGTTGATATCTTCTGACTACTGAGATTACCTAATATTAGTAACTATTATTTAACAACTATTATATTACACTCCCAATAACAAAGAAACTCCATTCAATAATTTCTAGTGATGCTGATTATAATATATATATATATATATATATATATATATATATATATATAATCTAAAAAAGAATACTAAAAATTAAAACTATCTTCAAACTTAGGAGAATTCAAATGTGATATGTATTATATTAACCTCCTATTTTCTTTAATCATCAGAAACTTTGTACTTTTCATCTGTTCATAAGATTAGATGTAGTTGTCATCTGTGGACACCGAGTATGGAAGGCTCTTGGAATTATGCTTTACACAATTTAATCTCAATTCTGAATTAGTAGACAAGTGGTGAAGATTCAATAGGGTCTCTATAGGTATATGTGGATTGTGTCCGTGCAATATGTCTATGATCCATGGGCTTCCTTAACTCCCTATGACCTCACTCTGCCAAATTCAACTGGATAGTTTCTTAATAAGCCACTATAATTTGAAATTGGGAACAGTGTCAGTTTCTGGTGTCCACTGCCCAGAAAACATCCATTTTCATTTATTAGCCAGTAAGGATATAGTTTTTTTTTTTCTAATTTTTTTATTGGTACATTTCAGTATACAGTGATAACATTCATCACTGGAAATTTGAGTCTATATGTGATATATTTTGCTTCTTTTCTTCCTGTTCCCCTCCCCTCCCTACGGTCCCTCTTCTCTTCTTGATTTACAAGTTACATTGCTATTTTTTCCTTCTATTCCTTTCTCTCTTGCCACTCCCCACCCCAGCGCCTTGTCCTCCTTCTCATTTGACCACTGTTTTCCCATTTCTCAAAATATGTTATACATTTTGATCCTCATTTAAACTTTTGGCTTCTCA